TTTTTTTTTTTTTTAAAGGAAACAAGAAGTATTTCAGAAATGTTATAAAAAGATGACAGGTTAGTTGTCTGTAGGCAAGATGGCTGAATGACAAATACCAAGGTAACTCAGTAGGTAGCACTAATGAGAGATGTAATAGCATGGTGGCTAAGAGCTCTAGAGTTACACACACCCGGTTACATCCCAGCTCTAGCTTAAGTCACAGCTATCTGGACAATAGTGGTGAAAATAACAGTACTTATCAATGCTTAGAATAATGCCTACAACAGATTACATGCTCAAAATAGTTCCATTATTGCCTGCTTAGCAGAACACAGATATCATTGCATCAATACTGACACTACATATTGAGCTCTTTGAATGAAAAGGAGAACACCCAAATCCAAGATACTATTAATAGCAATAAACAAGTACATTAAACAGTGTGCTGGTAATCTAACTCACAAACAAAACAACTCAATTTGTAGCACTTGTGATTTCCAATTTCCATGGTGTAAATATGCCCACCACGGCCAATTTTAAGCTACCAATGGTGTTAAACGGGTTCACAAAATTCCTGAATACTTAACAATCTCTGGAGAGCCAGCTCCAGCATGAAATTCACTTTATAAAAATCTACTGACCACCCATATGAGCTCAACAATGAACTTAAACAGTTCTGTGTGAGCAAGAGGTATACACTGTTGAACGTAGTTGGATTAACTTTTACATTGGCATATCAATATGGCATTGAGGAAAAATTAGGTGTATCTCTCGTTAAATTTCAACTTTAGGAAAGAGTTTACAATATCTTTTTTTTTTCTCTTCCTAAACAGACTTACTTATCTGCTTGCATTTCCTTATTTGAGGTGGAAAAACAAAATTACTCACCAACAAACACCCTAACAAAAACAAGAAGACTTTGTTTGAATTTCTCTCATATTTATACTTACATTCATTATCTAAAAATATGTCTAAATTTTTTTTTAAAAAACATTTTTAAGGCCGGCCCGGTGGCGCACTGCTACAGTGCGCCGCTTGGGAGCGCAGTGGCGCTCCCGCCGAGGGTTCGGATCCCACATACAGACCGGTTCCCGCTCACTGGCTGAGCGAGGTGTGGGAGCAACGCCGAGGGTTGCGATCCCGTTGCCGGTCCCGGTCTGGTGCGGGCGCGATGCTGAGGGTTGCGATCCGTTGCCGGACACAAAAAAAGACAAAAAGGAAAAAAAAAAAAACATTTTAAAATAGTAATTTAAAAAAAAATCTATAGGCTTAATTTAACTAATAGAAACTAGTTAAATGATAATGGAAAAAACAATCTCATTTACAACAGTAATAAAAAGTAATAATAAAATGCCGGTTCTCCCTCTATTAAAAAAATACCATCAGAACTTTCTCATGTTGGGGGAAGGAGGAAACTATACAGGCTAATTCTAAGATCTTACAAAAAATTAATAAGCAAGAATAGGGAGGATAATTATGAAAAAGAGGATTAGTCAATAAGCTACTAAGGCATATTATAAAACTAAAATAATTAAAACTGTAGAACTGGAATAGATAGATCAATGGAATTAAACAGAAATAAAAAAGTAATTAAAACCAGAATGGAAATGATGGTGTTATGACAATGGCTAGCCACTTGGGAAAAAATTAAGTTGTATCCATATTTCATATCTAACACCAATATAAATTACAGAGGAGCTAAATAAATAAATGTAAAAAATATAAAACGGGCCGGCCCGGTGGCGCACTGGATAGTGCGCCGCTTGGGAAGCGCGGCGGCGCTCCCGTCCGAGGGTTCGGATCCCACATACAGACCGGCTCC